CAAACAAGCTCTTTATTTCTTTGAGTCTTTCAGTCCACAAGTAGTTCTCAAAGTTACTCAAGATTCACATAGAACTCAATTCTTGTAATACAAAGGAGAGAACCAATGGGTTGCCCTATCTACAAGAGAAGAACTCAAAAAAGTCTTTTACCTGTGAGAAATCCCTGAGAAAAGATTCAGATTGATAGGATAGAGCAGATTAGATTCTCCACTGCTGTCATCTTTAATCTCCCATTTTCAGTGCTTACACTGCAGGTTCATAGTAGAACTCACAATCACTGCAATGATAATTGTCTTTTTTTTGGCTATACTGGGGTTTAACCTCAGTACTTCTTGTTTGCTATCTAGGCACTCTACCACTTGAGTCAAGCTTGCAGCCCAAATTATCTTTATCATAACTATATATTGAAAGAAAGAATTCTGGACTTAAGATATTTATTCATTTTTAAGAAATAATTCCTTATTTACAATCTTTATTCTTTAAATGAAGAAGCTTGAACATAATTTTTTTGAGTGTTCAAGGTCTCACTATGTAATCCAGGCTATCCTCAAACTCATGATCCTCCTACCTCAGACTCCTGAGTGCTGGAATTATAGGCTTGAAACACCATGCTTGACCTTGAACATAATTCTTAATATTAAAGATCAGAATGTAAATGTAAATTCAGAGAGCCTGCATTCTTGATTTTAAAAAAAAGAAAATAACTTTCTAACTTTTTATAATTTTTTCCTTTAAATATGAGACCCTGGAATCAATATTGATATCATCTAGGGATTCCTAGACTGTAGACTGTAAGTCACAGAAAAAAAACATGGCACCTGAGCCTTCTTCTGTGATCTGTCAGTGGCTCAACTCTAGATAGACAGTTTGGTGATGTGTTGAGTCCTAGCCATCAATCAGACTAACACACAAAAAGAACAGCACAGTGAATCTAGTGAGCAGTGAAGAACAAAAAAAATTTTATGAGCTTTGAGACAACACACAGATACACGTCAGCCCTTCTGGTTCACTGAAGTGAACTCATTGAAGTAATATAAGAACTATAATTCATCAGGCTTGCAGTAGGTGGAGACTCTTACATAGGCCATATAGTTCTTGAGCTCATGAATAAAAACAGAGTAACTGGATCTTAAAATATTCCCTCATGGTATTAGGAGTGTCAACTCAGTTAACGGAACTGTCAGATTAGACACCATTCATTAAGTGCTGGTAGTGGGTGGTAGATGGCAAGCCACATGTAGCATTTAACTGTATGATGAGAAATTTTAAAGACATTTTGTAGAGAGTTTAAGGAAAACGACACCTTTAAGAAACTCAATGGAACAAAGAAGGTTAAAAACCTATTAGCATTTACATTGGTTTTAGAAATTGTATAAATTTAGTACATTCATCAGAAAACATAGTATGTGAAAGAGATTTTTAAAAGAAACTGCCAATAAGACGGTTTTGAGATGGCAGGCAGAAGCAAACATGAACGGTACGCAGTATATTAAAGTCTTTGATAACATACCAAATGTAGCAGCTTTATCAGCTCTTTGAATATTCTTGTAAATCATCTAAATTATCTGGTTTTAATCATCTAAAACCAGACTGCTACGTACATAAATCATGACAGACTTCAATCATTCATTAAGTAGATCATACATTATGTAAACCTAATGGTAGAGTTTTTTTTTTTTTTTTTACAGCATTTAGGACAGTGAGTGCATATATGTGTCTTTAATTTTACTCCATTCTCTGCTGTACATAACAGAGAGTGAAAGCAAAGAAAGATTTGAGTATTTTGTACTTATATTTGGATTTGTAGAATTTTTATAGGTATAGAAAGTAATACTTTAAATCTATAATAAGATTTTTATTTTTTTACAAAAGTGAGAAATAGATGGTTATGTTTTATTTGTGAGGCAGAATATTGGTTATCTATTCAGTGACATTTAAGGGAAAAGAAAGTTCATTTGTACAATTTTTAGTACATATTTTAAAAGCCCTCAGCTGAGTGCTACAAATTAACTTCCACTGTAGTTATGGACTTAGTGCATTATTTATTAAGCATATATATATATTTTTTGCCTGATTGAAATTCAACAAGACAGACAGATTAATTCTTACATTCTAAGGCTTCTTCAAGACAATGTGTGTAAAGGACTGAAGCATATTTCATTTTGCTATTCAATACTTCTTACTAATAGTAGCATGGAGGATGTTGTTTACTACATAACATATCAAATCAGAGGGTGAGGCCAGCTTTATTTCTCAGTACTAGTTTCTTTTGTTTTTTAATTCTGTCTAAAACTTACTTACAGAGTCTCCAAATCCTCCATCCCTACAATTCCCTGAAAGCTAACTTGTTTTTACTTAAATTATGTTTTTTTAGAGTTTTATATTAGTTATATAAAACACATATTACACAGAGAAATGTTTGTTTATGTGTATGGTTATACATATAAGAGATCATAACTTACATATTTTAATAAGTCTTGATTTTTTTATTTTGTAATATGCCTTTTAGCTTACTAATTCATATTTGCCTATGATACTCTGATTACTTGTAAAATATTTACTGGCGTACCTATATCACAGTTTATTTCTTTCACATTCTCCCATTGACAAACCTTCTCACTTTTAAAATGATGCGCTGGACTTTTCCATCATTTTCATTATTTAGTGTCCAGTGAGTGCTAATGTAAATAAGGGATATTACATTTTTCTGGCATAAAGAAGAACCTCTCAAGGCTGGGGTTGTGGCTCAAGTGGTAGAGTACTTGCTTAGCAAATATGAATTCAAAGCCCAAAATGATCAAATTCTTTTAAAAAAAGAAGAAATATTCAGCAAACATATTCTCTGAAAATTGAATCAGATGCATGACACATAGGAGTAAGTTACTTGATGGGCCTCAGGCATGTTCAAACAGAAGCTGTGTTTTAGGATTTCTTCTGACGCTTTCCCATACACAAGAGGTATCTACTGGCTGATTAATAAAATGCTAGGCCCATTTGTATGCACTGAAACTTTTGTACTCTACCACTTGAGCCACACCTTCAGCCTTTTTAATTTATATTTTGTTTTTGAGAAAGGGGCTTAGTAACTTTGCTGGGGCTGACCTCAAACTTGCAATCCTCATGCATCTGCCTCCAGAGTACCTGGGATTATAAGCATGAGCTACCATGCCTAATTTGTTTTGTAAGTTTTAGCTTTAGACATTGACTTCTCTTTTGAGGTTCTGGAGATCAAACTCAGGGCCTTGTGCATGTTAGGTTGAGCAAGACAATTGTTCTACTACTAGCTACACCCATTGCTCCAAAATATTGGTTATTGATAATGGCAATCCTTCCCCACCATTCCATTCATCTTCAGAAAAGATGTTATTTGCCTTTAAACATAATTTGCTTTTTATTTCCAAAAACACCTAGGATATCTATCATGTTGATCTTCATACCCTGATAGATGGTGGTATTCCCATTTTATTGGGTGAGGACTTTATCAGAATTAGATTTCTTCTCAAGGGATTCAATTAAATCTATTCAACTTTCCAAATCTTATCTATGATCAAGTCACTAATATACATATTATGTATGGTAATATACATAATAAAAGTATATTAACATGTACTTTTTGTTAAATTTATTTATCTTATAAATATTTTTCAAAATTTCCCAAATAACATTCTAAGAAAAATACATTTAATGTGTTTAAAAAGAGAATAAACCAAAGCAAATCAAAGTCCTAGACTTTATATTATTCCTTCTTCTTCTTCTTTGTCTTTTGGTGGCAGTAGAGTTTGAACTCAGAGCCTAATGCTTGCTAGGCAGATGTTGTAACACTTGAATCACACCCCCAGGCCTTTTTGCTTTAGTTATTTTGTAGATATGGTCTCATGTTTTTCTCCCAGACTGGTCACTGACCTTAATCCAAGTATCCATGACCTGGTACGTAGCTGGACTCACAGATGTTAACATGCCTGGCTTATTGGTTGAGATGGTGTCTTGCTTGCTAAGTTTTTCCCTGCATTGGCCTTGAATCTGGTCCTCCTGATTTCTATCCTGAGTAGCCGGGCTTATAGATGTGAGCCACCACTCTCAGTCCTTCTTCTTGATATTTTTAATTTAAATGATAAACCAAGTAGTAATAAGCTAGCATTTTGATAATGCTATGCATATTTATAAGAACATAAGTAAAACTTCAATGACTATGAAATAAAACATGAGGGAAGCCATTATTTCCAGATAGAAATTTTTTATTAATCAAGAGGCAGAACTTTTTCCAGAATCAGAATGCAATAATTCAGCATAGTAGGAATATAGAAGGCTCCTGAACATAGGCTAACACTGATCATAAAGACTACATATTTTGTTATCCCTTTGACAAATAATTTTTGTGCTGCAGTTACTTCTGAGGCTTTCTCTTCTGCAATGAGACAAAAGTCAAATGGCTGTCAATCCTGTGTTCTATGGCTTGCTTGGAAGAAATGAAGTCTTCTGCTTCTGAGCTCTAGTTCACCATTGCTATTTACTCATCCTTATAATACGTCAAAAGGGAAAGAAAAAATAGTTCAACAAGATTCTAGTTAGGCAGTTGACCAAAAGTATTGATCAACTGCAAAATCATTTGAAAGAACTTGCAAGTTGAAATTAGCCATTAAATCAAGAAGTCCCACTTTATCAAGAAGAAGTAGGTGACAATCACACTGGCAAGCAAGAAAGCTGCTGATGGTTGCACTTCATGTGGAGTTTCTTCAGTGAGTCCATCATTGTCAATCTTATGGATAATACTAACTTCAGAATCATCTTTTAACAAAAAGAATATTAACAGAGCAACAGAAAAAAAAAAAAATCAAGCCGGAAGTAGTAGCAATGGTTAAATAAACCCTGGAGCTATATTTGAGGTAAACCTATTTCTTAAGAAGCATAAAGCAATTCAGCAGAATACTGGAGATTTTTACAACTTGGTAGAATCTGCCTCATTGAGCAATTTTTAGCTGTTGAAAATGCTATAAGTCGATCAGTAACAATTCAGAGGCCTGATACCACTGCATAAGTACCTCAAAGGTGGAAAGGTACTATGTATATAATTCAGAGACCGAAAGTTTCTAGATAAATAGCTCACTGGTCGGCAGCCTATAGGCCTGTAATTTGGATACCAGCAGTTTCTCATTAAATAACTTTGAGGTTGGAAGCTGCTGGCAATATAGCATGATGGTGAGAAGCCATTGTTGATGTAGCCAAGATTTTGGTAGCTTCTATACCCAAAACCACCAAGTCTGCATTGAGTGTGGGGCCGGAGATTCTTGGATAAGGAGTTAAGCTGACCAAAGCAATTGGAACCATTGCAAAGGGTCTGGCAAGCTTTGGATGCACGTCGAGGGGGAGTGTAGCAATTGGTTACGTACCCCTTGGTCAGAGTGCTTGGACTGCAGCTGGGGCTGAGTCCGATGTTAGTCGTTTCACCAGCTTGGTCTGCAGATGCGGTGTTGCAAGGTACACAGGAGTTCCGGGTGTCACAACGTGTGGTACAGGTCTTTGGCTCACAGCTGGGAGATTCGCAGCTTGGTGTTTCACAGTAGGATTCTTGGCAGTGGTCTAGAAGCCAGAGATTGCCTTGGTAGCTACTGGGTAAATAGTTTTCAAAGGTAGTGTTTACATCATTGGAGCAAAGTGCAACAGGAGGAGTCACTGGGATGTAACAGGAAGTTCTGTAGGATGCAGCACTGCAAAGCTCAGGATAGCCCAGAAGAGACATGGAGACTGAGTGCATGCCGAGTAGTAGCTGTACAAGTATGGTGCGACTGTGGCTGGAGGACTCTTTATATCTTCCCTGGAAATTGCCAGGAATCTCTCCAGACTCTTCCTTCTCTCTTCCTGGGACAATAACAGCAACATCTCATCAGCGTGTTGTTTAGCCACTGCTGCTGACATGTTTATGTTCATATAAAAATAAGTTTGCTTTAACTCTTCAAAGTATCCATAAACACCACTTTGACCATCACCCATCAATCCCTGTCTGTAGAACATAGCTTTGGTGAATAGTGATTTTAATGTTAATAGGCAAACTCTCATCTGTCAATTAGCGGTTAACTAGAGTTCATATATCTATGGGCTTCTGATACATGGTTATTAAAATGTTAACAAGGATCCAATAAAGCAAGGACCTGTATTTTTCCACCCTTTGACACTGAATAATACTTCAGGACTTAATTCTACGTTCTGAAATAAGCCTGATGGTTTGGCTGCCTCAGTATTGTTGCTCAAAAGACAAGGTAAGGCATTGATGCATTGAGAGAAAGAATCAGTTTTCACAAATAAGTGCTATACTTTTATGTGGGCCAGGTTGTAGAAGGTTGACAACTTCACATCTGATGTGTTTGGAGAATTCCACGTGTTAGAGTCACAGCCATCCCAGTTGCATCTTGTGACCTATACCAGGCTAAAAATGAACTTGTCTCACTGGGTCAGTGGTTACTAAGCAACCAAGGGTTCTATGAAATCCTTCTCTTAAAAAGTTTCTACGCTATATAATATTAAAGAAATCCAGTTAGTCGATATTGTACCTTTTTAATTGACTTAAGATTATAAAACACATACTCCATAGTCCCAGCCCAAATGCTGTCAGATGTACAGCATTGCTCCCCAAATAAGTTTTAGTTATTCTTTATTTGCTTTCTTTTGCACATAGATTTTATTTTATTCCTGTGTTGAAGTTATTTTTGATCTCTACTAACAAAAGAAAATGACTATTCTTTAAAGTTTTATTTGAATACCCTGTATAGTTCTTTCAGACACTGTACATACTAAATAGCAATTCTCACTCTTTAGGGTGAGGCTAAAGGAAATTTTTTAAAAAGATTTTAATATAAACTGAAGAACTGACATTTTGTTCTTGAAAATATAAACTATAATTTATACTTATAGCCTTTATTGAATTAGAGTCAGCCATGCATTTATTAACAGTGATGAGTTCAGACAGAGGACATACTGACTTCTTCAGGTAGGATAAGCTATCAGTGTAGTTCTAAAAAGGCATTGTCCTCAAGAAAACAATCAGCTTTCTCTTGCTGTTCTCTACTTTTTAGCTAGATTTTTAAATGCAGGCCAAGGTAGACCTGCAGATATTCTCTATTACCTGAGTTTTCTCCATGTTTATTCTGTAAGGTGACAATTAACAGTCTTTATTAAGAACATTTTGCTGCCTTCTGGAATTTCTCCCAGGTGAAAAAGGTTGAGATTAAGAAGTTATATTTTCAGCAAATTGTTTGGGTATAGAGAGCCCTGGGATTTGGGGCAAAAAATTTCAGCTCTGAGCTAGGCAAAATAGGAGACCATGGATACATATATACAGTTGATGGCCAACTTCCCAGAAAATTACGATGTGCTAAGTGATATATAGGAAAGTCCAGATGTTGATAGGGCAGCTTTATTCTTCCACCTCTCTCTCTCTCTCTCTCTCTCTCTCTCTCTTTCTCTCTTTTACCATTATTACTTTTAGTCTTTCATTTTAGGCTTCTTTGTAGCCAACTCAAGGAAAGTAATAGCAACAGCAGAACAAGTAGGTTGGTCAACATACTCCACTTCCATTTGAGTACTAAATAATAAGGTATTTTAAATTAATATACTCAAGCAAGTGTAAGTCCAGCAAAATAATGTAGAATATCATATTGCATAACCAATATTCAAACTATGAGACTTTACAACATATTTTTATTTATTATTAATAGCATACTAATCAATGAAACACTGAGATTTCCAAAGGCAGAGTTTACTCAACTTCTCTCATTTGCTTTTGTGTTTTCTTACCTCTGAGAGTATCCTACTCACAAGTGATCACCTCCCAGCCTCATTTTTTCCATTGCTTTCTGTACTTTCTGCCTCTGAAGAATTGATTTCTATTTGGTGTCTATCTTTGGAATACACTGACAAGCTAGCATCAGTCACAGAGCAAGTAGCAAGGCCAAAACGATGACAGGTTTTAGTAGAAAGTAAGGACCATTGTCATTTGTGTGGCATTATCCTCTGGAAGTTCTGAAGAATCATATCCAGTGATCTGGTTTTACTTAAATACTGAAAATATCATTTGTTCCATTAATTTCCCTATTTTTTAGTATTACTGTACATGGAAGACTAATTAATGCTACTGCCTATCTGTACAAAATGTCTACTCCTTCATACTGGGGTCCTGTGAGTGCCACCTGATAGGGTAGAAGTGACTTTGCAGATGTGATTAAATTAAGGATACTAAAATGGATTTATCTGGATGGTCTTCTTATGATCACAGTGTTCTTTATAAGAGGGAGACAAAAAGCTGCTAGTGGAAGTTCACATCTGTAATACTAGCTACCAGAGAGTTAGAGATAGGTTGGATTATGGTTTGAGGCCAGGTCAGGCAAAAAGTTCACAAAATCCCATCTCAACCAATAATAAAAGAGAAAAAAAACCTGGGCATGGTGGCAATCCCAGTTAGGTGGGACATGTAAATAGGAGGATCATGAGCCAGTTCAGCCTTGACTTAAACTTGAGACATTATCTGAAAAAATAACTAAAGCAAAGCAGGTTGGCAACTTGGCTCAAGTGAAAAAGCACCTGCCTAGTAAGCACAGAAGCCCTAAGTTCAAACCCCAGTTTTAATATCAGCATTCAATTTACAAGTTGGAAGAGGCAAGCATGGTTTTTCCACTAGAAACTCGAGAGAATCAGCACTATTGACACCATGACTTCGGTAAATGAAATTGAACTTGAACTTTTGTCCTCCAGAGCTGTTAGAGAATAAATTTTTATTATTTTAAGCTAACAAGTTTGTAGTAATTTGTAACAGCAGTCAGAGGAAATGAATACACTCTGTCAGGAAAATATGCATGAATGTAATAGTCTTTATGCAGTTTGAGGAATTTGTGCTCTGTACCCACAGTAAGTTTTAAGATGCAAAGAATACATTTTCTAGCAATTAGATAATTCAAAGAAATATTCACATTGTCTGAGAAACAAACTCCCTTTAATGAACCAGTAGAGTTCTTTCCACTCATTAAAAAAGAGTTATGGAATTCTTTCTCATTTTTTTCCAAAGGTTAAAAATCCTTTGGGGTAAACATAGATCAGAGAAGCCAAATTTACAGTAAGTGTCCTTTAAAGAAAATAACTGGATATCTTCAAGCCTTTTAAGTCACAAGAAATTTTATCTTCCTTTTCTGCCACAGTATATTCAATTGTGTTCTAATTCCACTTGCCAAAGTGCTGTTAAATGATGTAAAAGTGATTTCACAATTTAATAAGCAAAATGTATATAAATCCATACTTACATAGAAATTGAATTGTAAATACTGAGTCAAATGAATATTAAATGTATCCCTGGTAACCTAAACTGGTAGACACTCTTATCTACATTGTTGGTTTAATAGACACTAGTGTTCTCAAAAACTGCAGGGCAGGTGAACACAGTCATAATTTAGAAAACAGAAATTAATGAAAGTAGCATTTAAAAAATGTTAACATGACTGAGTAGAAATGAGACAGCCTAGCAATAGAGATTCAGGTGTCTGGTCTGACAGGAGAGCCACGAGTCATGGCTTTTCATACCACATTTCATGATAAACCCCTCTTCTCAGTCCAGTGCTACCCTTTGCAGTTTTAAATTGTAAAGATTGTAAGACAGAAAACCTTGAGGCAATTCCACCCTACCTATGACTACTCCTCAGGTAAAAGCCCTTTGTTTAAAACATGAATATTGATCACACTCCATACATGTAATTAAAATACCTGGCGCTCCAGCTTAATTGCATGTGCAAATGAATCAAACCTGACAGTTGCCCTAGTCCATTCCACAGACTGCCCTGATGTTCCAACTTTGCTCTTTGTTTATAAAAGGTTCTTTGAAACAAAGACCTGCTCCTGCCCTTCTATCCAAACTTATCAGGGCCTATTGCTGCTTTTTGTATGGTAATATTCCTTCACTTGTAACACATTTCCAGGTCATGCTTGGATTCATTTCATTCAGAACATAAATGACTAGGTGTATTCTGACCAGTTTTCCAGAGACTACCAATTGGGTAACACAAAGATTCATGTTTAACTTTTCATGGAAGCATAGGATATATGTAATGACAGGCATTCTGAGATGGAACTATCAGGTTTGTGCCTTAATGAGTTCTGAATCTCGCTTATAAAGTAACATTTAAATATCTTAATTAAAGTGCAATCTTGGAAAAGTATTCTCAGTCCTTTAGGGAAAAAACAGAGCTAACAGCATGCATGTTGCAGGAATGACTTATAGGCAGAGATAATAAATATGAAAACACTTTAAAAAGTGCAATGTACATAATAGATACAAATATTACTTTTCTTTCAAATTTCCTATGGTTCTGATTTAAGCAATTCTAGTTAAAATTGTTATTCTTAATTTACTTTGATATTGCAACAAATAGTCCTACAATAATTGCTGTCTCTTCTAAAACTTAATGGCAATAATGAACAATTCTAACCTATGTAGTTAAGACTAACAACTTGCATAACAGCAGATTAGTAATAATTTCTGTGATATAACCTATATTCTTTTGTGTTATGTGCCATTAGGGAGTTCCTGGAAGATTGTATATTCAATTTTTAGAATAAGAGGGCAATACTCAGATTTCTTGAATTCTAATCCTATCCCTGATGCTCAGTTAACTACCAAATGCTTTGGAAACTGAATTTCTACATCTTCAAACAGAGCTAATGGTAACATTTTCTGCATGGGTGGCTGTGAGATGTGTGGTTGATGTTTTGATGTTA